ATATCAGACACACACACCCCCCCCCGGGAGATGTTTGGGTCCCATCCCACTGGGCAGTAGTAAAAGGACTTAGTAGTCTTCAAAGTAACAGGAAATCATCTCAAGGCTGGGGCTGGCAAGGCACACTCTGCATCATGCTCACTCTATCTAGTCCTGGGCTGGAGCTTAATTCCCTGAAGATAGGATTTGGAGAAGCAGGGACTCAGGGAAGAGTCTGGACTCTGTGACTCCTGCCTGCAGGAGGGAGATGGAGAAGCTATTCCTTGGGCTGGGGACTCCCCTCCCTCCCACCACTGAAGAACAGACAGGGTGGGGAGGGGACAAGTGGGGCTCTGCTGCCTGGAGGGCTCAGGTCTGAGCAGCAGGGTACCTGCCCCCCAACATCCAACCCAGCAGAGCTATTGGGAGTTTACTGCCTGAGGACACATAGAGTCCTTGGGTCAGAGATTGTGCAGAAACATAACCCCCTCAACTTATGAGATATGGTTGCCAGGTTTCCATGGCTGGTTTCTCCGGGTCAGAGATCATGGGTTAGAAGTCATAGTGGAACCACCAAGGTAGAAGTCACAGAAGATGCATGTGTTCACTGACCGCTAGTGGCCTGGCCAGAGATCAGGTGGCACTAGATTCCTGGCAGAAAGTTGAGGGATCAAAGAGTGAGAGGTAAGAGGCCAGGGCCATGGCGGCTCACACATACATGGCCCGTGACATGACAAAGCCTTTGCCCTGGTAGGAATCAGAGGGGCTAGAGTAGGATAGGGCGTCATAGATGGGGTTGATCTTGTCCAGGTAGTCTTCCTCATCATCATCTATGTCCTCTAGGTCCAGGGAAACTCTCTCCACAATAGGTGGCCCTGGAGGCACCAGGATGGGGGACCCCAGGCTTGTAGCCCCCAGGAGCAGGGGCCCCGACCGCTCTTCCAATGTAGGCAGCTCATGATACCGAGGCATTTCCTGGGGGTCGGGATGAAATAGGAGCCCAAGGTCACCTCCTGAGCATGACATAGAATCCCAAACTGCCCCTCGACTCCAAAATCCTGACCAGCTCCACATGCCAACCAGACCCAATCTCACCCTTGTCACCTGGATCAATAATGCACTGGGACAATCATATGGCTTGCCCCTAATTCAAAGTCCAGAGTATGGACCTCACCCTGTCAATCCTGGGTCTCTACTTTGTCTTTTGATTCTAGACCCAAGTCTTTCCCCATGAACCTTTGACTTTACTCTTGACCTTAACTACTTAACCTTAAACCTGAAAAAGCCCCTTAAACCTTGACTAGTCACAACCTCAATATCTGACTCCTGACCTCCAGTAGACCACTGTAGGGACTGTCTTGTCCTACAGTATCTAGCAAATGTAGATGTTCACCCAATCTTCATTGACTAAGTGACTTTAAACTCTAACTTCATGTCTTTGGACTTTTTCAGTGGGGGAGGCCCCACTGAGTTCTAAACTCATCTCAATGCCATAGGCTCTGACTTTGAGTTGTGGACCTTTAGTCCTTAACCTCTTATGACAGGTACTAACCCCTGGCCCTTAAACTCAGACCCTGAAGGGAGCCTCACTCTCACCCAAGGTCCTACCTGCTCAGCACATGAGACGCCAGCATCAAAGTAGGGGGTCTTGAGTGGGCTGTGCTCTGAGGCCCCAAGAGTGAAGAGCTGGGAGGGCTGCAGTGGGAAGGGGTGGGGCAGGTCAGACTCAGCACAGCCAGCTTCTTTCTCCCAGCTCCCTCCTCCCAGCCCTGGCCTTAGTGGGGAAAGGTGGGTATGGAGGTGGGGGTGGCCTGGGCTCCAGGCAAAGTGCTTACCATCTCTGGCTCCTCCAGCTTTGTCTTTGGGGTTGGTGGCTTGTATGAGGGAGGCCCCTCCAGGCTGTGGGGTAGGAGGTAGGTCAGGTGGAAGCTCAGACCTGAGAAGCCCTCCTACCCTAGGGCCACTGCACAGGCTCTTCCCTCTGTCTGATATCCCTTTCCACCACCCCCATTCCCCTTGCTTGGCTAACTCCTACTCATCCCATTAATCTTCTTCTTCCAGGAAGCCTCTATGATTCTCTAGGAGGATCAGGAACTCCTGTTATATGGTCACATCTAGCTGTATACCTACTTACCTCTCAGGGCACTTAACTGAGTTTGTATTTGAAATGTTATTTCTGATGTCATTCAATGACTGTACCCAACCATAAGCAATGGGAGGGAGAAAATGAAATCATTGTTCAACACAGTGTTCCCAGAACCCACTATGAAGAATTCAGTAAAGCCCTGGCCAGTATGGCTTAGTTTGGTTGAGTGTTGTCTGGTGCACCAAAGAGTTGCTGGCTCCATTCTGATCAGAGCACATGCCTGGGTTGCAGGCTCAATCCCCAGTAGGGGGCATGCAGGAGGCAGCCAATCAATGTTTCTCACATCAGTGTTTCTCTCCCTCTCCCTTCCTACCTCTTTAAAAATCAATAAAAATATTTTTTAAAAAATACCCAACTCAGATATCCCCCCCTCCAGGAGGCCTTCTATGACCCATAACCCTCTTGAGTCTCATAGCTCCCTCAGGTTCCCTAGCCCATCCCTGGCATGCTGGACCATCACTGCCTGGGGACAGTCTGTCTCCTCCAGACTGTGAACCATCACTGCCTGGGGACGGTCTGTCTCCTCCAGGAGGGAAGGGCCAGGGCCATCTCAGGCACCACTGGGTTTCAGCACTGGGCTGAGCACAGGAGAGATCAATTGCAAGTCGTTTTGCATTGACTAGATGATTAAGACAGTGGTTTACACACATTCTTGTGCATCAGAATAACTTAGGGAGCTTGTTACACAGATTCTGAACCATTCTTGTAAAAGTTCTGATTTAGTAGGTTTGGTATAAGCCCAGGAATATGCATTTTTAACAAGTGTTCCCATGGCACTGTCTGTCCCCCCACCCCAAGCAGTATTATTTCAGAACCATTTTGCCCCCAAACACTTACTTGCTGAATGAATTTCAGCTCCCTAAACCTGTTTCCTCTTTCATGAACCGGTTATCATTAGCTCCCTTTAAGAATTTATGTTTCCATGATATATTTATGTATGTGGACACTTTTTAAATGTTTTTCTCATCGTTTCATTCCTAACCTCCAGGGCCTGGCCCTGAGTGGGTACTTTTTGAATATTTGCTGAATAAATGAATGGATGTGAGGCTTCGTCGAGGTTACATATGTCAAATGCATCTTGTCAAGCCTGGTACATAACAAGTGCTCTATACAGAGAAGTGTGGCTAGTTTCCTCCAATATCCAGGCTCCTCCTTTCTCATACTAAAAAATATTTTAGCTGGGCACATGGCAACCCAGAGTAAAGACATTTCCTAGCTTGCCCTGCTGCTGGGGACAGCCATGTGACAGGTTCTGGCCAATGGAAGTGATAAGAAGTGATGAGTTCCCTTAAAGGGTGGCTGAATACCCTCTATTTCTATTTCCTTTTCCCACTGGCAGGAACGGGGGACCTTGAGGCCAGGATAGCCATGTCTGGTTGTCAAGTGTGTAGATAATGACAGAAGAGTGGGGAGCCTTCTTGAAATGTGAGCAAAGGTGGAGCAACAAGATAGCAGGAGCCTGGGATCTGCCTCTCCACCCTATTTAAGTCATAGTAATTTGAGGTGTCTCTGTTTCACACAGTCATTACGGATGATTTTCTCCTACCTTCACCCTACCATAGGCTCCCCAGTTCTGGGACCCCTCCCCCATCCACTGCTCAGTGCCCATCACTCACTCATCCTCCTCCTCTGCCCCCTGCAGCCTCTGTTCCTTCCGCTGCTGCCGGCAGATAAGGATGCCTGTGGCGGCCACAGCAGTAGCAATGATGGCAGCGATGATGCCCCCGATGATGCCACCTGTGGCCCCTGCACCTGCTGTGTTGGGGGACTCTGCAAGAAGAGGGACAGTGTAAGGGGGTCTCTAGGAGGAAACCATAGCTCCTTACTCCCTGCTCCCCAAGTTACCACCCACCTGCCTACCTCAAAGGCAGGGGACATTCTTTCACTCAACTTATCCTTACCAAGCATTTTTTGTGGGAAAGAGTAGTGAACAAAATATACAAAAGCCCCCAGTCCCATGGAACTTATGTTCTAGGTGGGCAGGGAGACCAACAATACAGAAACAACTACAAGAGCTAATATGCCAGGTGGCAGTAAGTGATGTAGGATAAACTACATAGTGGGCCGGTGTCACTCGGTTGTGCATAATCCAACCCGAGGTAGGAGGCATGCAGGAAGCAGTTGATGGCTGCTTTGCTTTCACATTGATGTTTCTCTCTCTCTCCCTTCCTCTCTCTCTAAAAATAAAAAATATATATATTTAAAAGAGAAAAAAAAACAAAATAAAGAAAAAAGATTACATAGTGGGGAAGGTGATAAGAAGTGACAGAGCAGGTGGTCAGACAGTCTTACTGCAAGGTGACATTTGAGCAAAGACCTGAAGGAACCATGAGGATATGAGAATTTTCTGGGCAGAGATGGCAGCCAATGCAAAGGCCCTGAGGAAGCTTTGTGTTGTTTTTAAGGAACAGCAAGGAGCAGAGTGAGGAAGGGATGCGTGGGGAGACGAGGGGAGGGAAGTAGAGTTAAAAGGCAGAGAATTGGGGGGATTCTGGGATTGAGATCATAACCCGTCATCCATTATAGGGAATGGAGTCATACTAGGCAGAGGACCAGAACTCCTCCAACCTAACAGGAAATGGCTTGAAACGCGTGGTCCCACTGGGCCTTTCCTGTGTACCACCTCATACTTCCTAAAGTTGTTTTTGGAACAATTACCTGCATATTTGCTAATTTCCACACTAGGCTGTGAGTTCCAAGGGGCAGGCTGGTTTTGCTAGATGTGTAAGAAGGGGCAGGCATGGGTGCTCAGGGCCTACTATATGCCAGATTGACAAAATTCCCACCCCCGCCTTCTAGGTGGGGAGGGGCCGGGGAGGGGAGGAGGTGGTACAGAAAATAAACAACCAGAGGAAATAACAAAAGCCCACCCATAGGCTTCAATCTTCCATGAAGCCCACTCAGCAGAGGAGATCAAGCCCCCCAGAGGAACTATGCCTGGATTCCTGGACTGTCCTATTTCCACACTTCCTGCTCCACAGCCCGGCCTTCTTGGGAGGGCTTGAGCATGGGAGCATGGGAGCCACTCAGCCAACACCTGGCCATCCTAAAATTATTGTTATTGCAGCCATCCTTACTGACTGCATGCGTGGGAGGAGAGGGCTAGGTCTCCCTGCGGTCACAGCTTTATCCCCGGCAGTTAAGTGGAAGTCAGAACTCTGCAAGCCCTTCCTGGTGGCTTAGCCCCAGTCTGGGCAGCAGAGCTCAGCCTGCTGAGTTGTGTGACAGCCTCAGGAGCAGAGAGGAAGCCCAGTGTCAGCCACAGGGCTGGGGAGCGGAGGTGGCTGGGATTTACCCCTCCTCGTCCCACTCTCCCATCTCAGTCCCCAGCCTGGGTTTGAGGGTTGTTCTAGTTCTGGGGATTAGGCAGGACACAGAGCTGCAGCCCTTCCCTCTGAATCACTGAAAATTCCCTCTAGCTGGGCCCCCAAGGAAGAAGGAAGAGAAAGGAGACCGGCAAGGCCACTGTGCAGTGTGCAGAGGTGGGGCTTTCCTGGTTGCTCACCGACCCCCCCCTTCCCCCTGGGGCCGTGAGAATGCAGAGGGCAGTCCTCCCTTCCAAGGTCCTCAGCAACCTTGAGGAGGTCGGGTCTGAGCTGCTCCCAGATAACCAGATCATAGCACCCTCTGCAAGGGCCCAAGAGGATCCCCGCCTGGCTCTCTCAGGAAGTCAGGCCTCCCACTAGTCTGGCCGCTGCACCCCAGACAGCAGCCTTGGTCCTGGAACTTACAAGTCCAAGCACTCCAGCCTCTAAGCCCAGACCCCAGTCCCACTGGCCTAGGGGGTCTCAGCATCCAAGGTGTCCTTCAAGGACCCAAATGGTAAGAGCCCCCCAGCCTCCCCAAGTCTAGCCCCACCAGGCTCCCAGGCCCAGGAGCCCAGTTCAGCTTTCCTACCCCCAAGGAGGGGGGCCAGTGTATTACAAGACACCCCCCACGTTTTCCTCCAAGGCGTTTATTAACTCCTGAGTGTCACAGGGCAGGCCAGAGCCAAAAACAAGTCTCTGGGCGGGGGGTCCTCTGTGGGTCCCCCTTCCCCCCATGCAGCCCTGGAGACGTAAGTCCAGTGTGTGATATTCCACCTCCCTCTGAATCCTAGGAAAGTGGGAGGTAGCATTTGAGCTCCAGTGTCATCCAGACAAACGAGTCCAACCAGTTTGGACCCCACGGTTGGCACTGGTAGGCTCGGTCTCTGTCTTTCTGTCTGGGGGGGGTCACACATAAACCGCCCGCCGGGAGATGAGGGAGCCGTCCAGCTGGGACTCCATGTCGTCTTCGAGTGCCGGCGATGGAGGCAGCATGAGGCCTTTCTCTGCCTTCTCTTCTTCCTCATACTCCTCCTCCGTGTCCTTGCCGTCCGGCCTCAGGGGGCTGGGAGCTGTGGTCCAGAAGACAGGGCCCCCATTCTCAAACACTTGAGTTTTCGGATCATAGGACCCCCGGCCGGCGTCTCGTCCTTCTGCTCCTCCTTCAGGGCTCTTCCTCCTCCTCCTGCCCCTCAGCAGGATGAAGGCCAAGGCCCCCCCAGCCAGAAGCAGCAGCACCAGCAGTGTCCCCCCCACGGCCCCCCACACCATTGGACCCTCGTCTCGGAGAGAGGCCCGGGGGGTGTCTGAGGAGAGAGAAGGAGGGGTGAGAGAGAAAGGGAGACACGAGGTCAAGAGCATACATCTGGGGGAGAACCCGGCGGGGGGAAGTGACAGGCGTGGAGAGGGCTCTGGCTGGGCAAAATGGGGGGGCAGGGGACAGCCTGTTCACTCTTCTCTACAGGATGGGCGCTTGGCACGCAGAGGGGTTGCCAGCTGGTGAGCCCTGGCTGTTTCCTTACATCCGCACAGTGTTATTAAACTTGCTAGCCAACATTTCAGAAGCCAGGTGCTTTCACCGAAAATTCCAGATTTCATTTAGGGGGAAAAATACCAGATCTGGCAACACCAGTCTCCTGTCCTCCACCTGGTGATGGGCTGTGGCTGAGTGAAGGGTGGTGGCCGGGAAGGGAACGGAGTTCCACACCTGGCCACTAGGTCATTTGCCAGGACCCAGTAGGCATGCGAGTTTTTGACCCCTTGAAGGTGAGCTCTGAGGTCAGGGTCATGGAATCTTGGGGTGGATCCAGCCAGGAAGAGGGGAGAGGTGGATTTGAGCAGGAGGCTGTCTGACTCCACAGCTCTTTGCACTTGAGAGAAGGCCTGAGAAGGGCGAGGGGCCTCCTGAGAATTCCTCCCTCGGAGCGCCGGGAGGACCTGGTCTGGACGGCGCAGCCTGCCTCCTGTCTGGGCCACCTGGCTCCAGTCTGGGCTACCCATCCCCCGTGTGGAAAATGGGGCTCAGGAAGCCTACTGTCCCTTTGCCCTCTAGTGCTCCCAGCAGTGGCTGAACTGTAGGGGGGAGGCTGGGGGCGGGAGTGGAGGTGAGAAGGAAGCCAGGGAGGGCTGGGCCCCCAACCAGGGACAGACATATGTAAGTACAGGAACCTTAACGCATGTGCCCTTCCCCTCCCCCCCTGCATGCAGGGCCTGCAGGAGAAAGACCAGGAGGGGTCCACTTACACGGACCCTCCCCTCTCTGTACCTCTGCACAGGGCATGTTTCTGGGTGTTTTCAAAAAGGGGGTCACGACCCAGTGGGCTATCAAATCAGTTTAGTGACTCACAAGCAGCAGTTAAAAAAAAGTAATAGTAAAAGTGCACCTCAAGTATGAAGGGTAAGAACTATTTTGTGAACCTTTTTGCGGGGGAGGGGATACATGTCTCACCCTGGACACTAGGTGGGGCATGAAGCTGACTTTGTCCAAAGGGGCTGGCAAATGGCTTCAGCACTTGTTGGGACGTTTGTCTGTTTCTGGAGCTGGGATTATGAGGTGGCAGATGAGTGCTACTGTGCCCGTGGGTTCTCCAAAGTCTCCCTGAAGTGACATCTAGCCTGCAGTGCGGCCTGTGTACCCATGTTTGCACCGGTGTGAACCCCAAACCAAGTCGATGACAGCCATATCTGGGTCTGCATGTGTGGGGGAATATGGCGTGTCACTGAAACCCTTGGGGAGAGACTCGCCTCGAGTGGGGAGTTTTCTTCCTGGGCGAGGCCATCTGTTGGCAAACGCACTGCCGGGGCCTGGATTTCTGTCTCCATTTCTGCTGGTGGCTTTCTGTAGGTGCATCTTCACAATGATGTTTTTGACTCTATGTAGGTGTGCGGTTACCTCTGGGATAGTCAGGGGGAGGTGTCTTTCCTTACTGGCTGGTCTTTCTCTGGGCCTGTGCATCCCCTGGTCCTTGGGTCCTGACGGGCCTCTGAGTATGTGTTTTACTGGGTGAACCCTGGCAAAGGGCCAACTCTGGAGCTGGTGTGTTCCCAGCGGTGGACAATCCTGGGGTTTCTGTGTGGTTTTCTGGGGGGATGTTCTTGTGGCTATGTATTCCTCCGATGGCCCTTAAGTATGACTGTATCTGGGTTCTGCAGGCTGCACCCCTTGGAGGTGCCTTCTGACCGAGTGTGGGTGGGGACCCGTTTCTCAGGTGTGTTTCTGGGGTAGAGGTTCAGGGGAGTATTTCCAGTTGGGTGCCTTGCTGAGTGGGTGGAGCTGACCTCTCTAGGTGTGCCTTCAAAGGCAGGGATGTGTCTTGTTCGCTACTGTGTTCCCAGCATCAAGGAGAAAGCCTGGCCAAGAGGAAACCTCAACAAATATTTGTCAGATGACAATCTGTTGAAAGAGACTTTCTATAAGGGGGTTTCTGGAGAGTTTCTGAGAGTGTGCACCCCAAGGCTGTTGTGGAGTTTCTCTATATGAGTGATGATGTAACGGCATGTGAATTCTTGATTCCCATGATCCTTTCCCCTTGCCCAGCACATCTGGTAGTAGTGTCTCCCTTCAGGTGTGTGTCTGTGTACCTGATCGTGACAATGTGTGGAGGGCTGGCCAGCTGTCTGAGTGTGTTGTTTGTGACAATGTTTCTGAGTAGGTCCATCACATCTCCCTGGCAAGTGTCTGCATTCCAAAGGAGGGGTCTGTTGTCATCTGGGTGTCTTTCTAGGTGTGTGTCACAGAGTCTCGCTGGGAGGGTGTGTCCCAGAATGGCTCTTCCCAGGTGTGTGCAGCATCTCTCAGGCTCTGGCTGGGTGGTATCTGGTCTTGTTCAATGTCTTGGCTGGTGTCCCTGCCCGCTTGGGGGTGTGTGGTGGTGAGAGAGTGTGTGGCTTACCTGATGGGCAAGTCTGTTTTGATTGCAATGCATCTCAAAACACAGGGTGTATCTGTAGCTGTGGGGCCTGCTGGCTGTGGCTCTGACATGAAGGGGACTCTGCTCCCAGCCAGGGAGTGGGTCTGTGTGTGAGTGTCAGGGTGCATGGCCCTGCGATAGTCCCTTCCTCTCCCTAGGTGTGTGGGCAAGCAGCTGTGATCCCCACCCCTTTGCCATCAGCCTGTGCACAGGCTGGGTCTGCCTTCCTGCTTTTCCTCTCCAACGGTGCCTTGGGGTCTGTGTTTCTGAGTCCACATCAAGGCGACTCGGAGAACTTTCCACCCATAGACCCATTTTATCATCAGTCACCGTTTCCAAAGCACCAACCCCAGAAACACAAATGTCCAACACACACTAAAAGTTGCTCCAGACATTAACAACCAGCATTCGCCATAAGAAATTCGTGTTTGTTTCCGTCTGGCTACCCGACTTGTGTCCCTCCAACTGTTAGTCGTGTGATTCTGCAGGCATGTCTCATTGGCTGAAGCCAGGGCAACATCACTGCATCTCTTCCTGAAGACCCCTCCCCGGCCTCTACGTTGCAGGAAGCTCCCAGCACAGGCCTCAACCTCCAAAACTCCTCTGCCAATGCCTATCCTGTCACCTCAATCCAGATCCTACCTGGGGGCAAGAGGGAAAAGCCACACCGCCCTCCTCTCCCATCAGCAAGGCGGGTCTGGACCCCTCCCCCAGCCGGCGGCACAGCCTCCCCACAACGCAGCCCCAGGACCAAAAGAGAGAAACACTTGGGGAGCAGACCTGGTCATCACATGCGACCCCCAAGACCCGCTCACCTCGAATGAGGACCACCTGCTCGGCACGGCCCGTTCCCACAGCGTTGGTGACGGTGCAGATGAAGGTGGTGTTGACCAGCTTATCCACCGAGTGGATCAGCAGCTGGGAACCCTGCTCTTTTGCTGAGGCTGGTAAGGAGCCTGAAGTCCTAGAGGATGTGGAGGTCACATGAGGGGGACAGCAGGGTCCACAGAGGAGCATAGGCTGGGTCCCTGATGACATAGCCCTCAGGAGCCAAGCTCCAGGGACCTAAGCTTATTTCTTGGGACCCTGAACTGCCAGCTCCCTCCTTTTAGAGGGTTCATGGTTCAGGCCCCGGCCCCTCCTCCCTCAGACCCAAGAGTCTATGTCCACACAGACTCACGTGCTCCAGACATAGCCTGTGGGATCCGGGTTGCTGCGGACATCACAGTTCAGGGTGGCCTCACTGCGGCCGAGGTACCAGTTGTCATCATAGCCAGAGATGGAGACCTCGGGGGGGTCTGGAGGAAATGGGAGGACTGGCTCAGAGACGGGAGAATCCCAAAGGGGGTGATAGGTAAGCAGATGGATGTAATCCTATGGAATGGGTCGGCAGGAGGTGAACCCGTGGAAACTGTCAGGCAAATACGGCAGAGCCCAGTATAGACGCTGGCCAGGGACACTGCTGGGATCACTTTGAGGAAGTTTTTTCAGTGCAGGCAGTCCCTGAGGGAGCCACTATAGATTCTGTGTGCTGTTTGCATCCCATCCATGGAGTAGATAAGGGAATTTGACTAAACCTTGGTTTAACCAAAGGCATTGCCTGGGGAGTAAGCAGTGTTGCTGTATGGGATATGTTGGGAAGGTGACAGGGCCAGGGAAACCTCTGGGTAGTATTAGGGGGTGTCATTGCATGCAGTGTTTGGAAGAGCTAGCACAGAACATACTGGAAGGGGTCAGTATTGATAGGAATCATTTAGAGGGGCAGGAGTTGGTGTGGAGACCCCAGGAGAGTCAATAGAAATGGTGTAAATGGGTGAGTGTAGACAATGTTGAGTTGGGCAGTACAGACTCAGAGTGGTCGATATCGACAGTGAGGGAGATAGAGAGATATTATCGAGGGCAGTGTTACCCGACTGTGGCCCGTGGAGCCAGTGCAGACCACACGGGCGGGGGGGGCACAGTGTATGGATGCTGCCTGGGGGAGCCAGTGTAGAAATACAAAGGGCAGGCAGGCAGCGCAGAATGTGGCCCAGAGCCAAGGCAGACAACACTGAGGGCTAGTGTAGGCAGTGCCCTGGGGAAGCCTGTGTAGACAGCATGAGGGGTGCAGTCACACCCTGCGGCACTCACAGTGCACAGAGAGGATCACAGGCAGCAGGGCTGGCTCCTCCAACGTCTCGTGCTCCACCTTGCAGGTGATCTTGACACCATCTACTTGGCTTGAGGGCACCAAGGTGTAGCGACTGGTGACAGTGTCTGTGCCGGACAAGGGCCCTGGCACCACGGTTTCTCTGGCCTCCCCATCCAGGGACGAGATCCAAGAGATCTGGGCAGGTGGGCGGCCCCCTGAGGAGACACAGCGGGCCACAGGCACAGGCTCCGAGCTGACTGTGACCTCCTGTGTTTCAGCGTGGTTCTGGGGCTGGGCTGGGAGAAGAACAAAGGGGGTGGTCATTCCTCGCCTGTAGTCATTCAACAAACACATCAGTAGAGGAGGCTGAACTGCAGAGCCCGCCCCAAATGCTCGGGTTCAAATTCCAGTTCTGCTACTTAGCAGCTGTGTGGCTCTGGACACAAGTAATTTCCCAACTCTGTACCTCAGTTTCCTCTTTTGTAAAGTAGGGATAATAGAAGTACCCACTCCATAGAACTGTTGTGTGGACCAAATAAATTGATATCCAAATAAACTGAACACTGCCTGGCACTCACTGTTCTACCTAAGCGCTAGCCATTGTATTATTCAGCCAGCATATTTTTCCTGCTCTGCTAGAAAAGCAGAGTATCCAAGTGCCTGGAAGAGGCTGGATTTAAAAAGAAAAGCCAAAGGAGAACATGGTTCAGAGGTCCAGCTGAAAGGCCCACCTCTTTCCCTGTAATCACCATTAATGGGATTGTGGTGGCAGAAGTGGGATAAAGGCAATGAGGCAATGAAGAAACCCAAAGCTCATAAATTTTTTTGCCCTTTTCATCCATCCTCCCGGAACACATGGAAAAATATTAGGAGGAATAAAAACCTCCATGAGGAACATGCCAACCCATAGTTATGGATGTGCGTCCTTAATCAGACTGTCCCGAATCCTGACTCACATCTCTAGTTGCCTCCTGGACCTCTCACCTGGGTATCTCCCGAGCTTCTTTACATGGTGTAGCCCTCCTCTCCTTTCCTCTTCTTCCCCCCTTCTCCCCTGACCACCACAGAGCCTCCAATGGGCCTCCCCACATCTTCCCTGGTCACCCTTCCATCTGTCCTCAGACCACTCCAGGAACTCCCCCCCGGCCCCCCACCCCTTCCCACCATGGGGGCTTGGCAACCCTAAAATGCTCTGGCCTCTCTTTTCTTTGGCTTGCTCTTCCTCTTCCTCCAGATCCCAGCCTCTCTTCCTCAAGGGAACTTTCCTGACACCTGACTCTCATTTCATAGGGGCGTGCTCTCCCATCACCTGCTCCCTCCAAGAAAGCAGACTCTCATGGCTGTCTGTGCTCCTCCCCCAGCAGCTGTCCTCTATGTATCTCTTGAACAGAACAAATAACTGCATACGAGAGACCTTTGCAAAGAGCGGGAAGAGAACAGCTGTGCTTCAAGTTTCGTAAAACTGTGGTTTTAGCTTCTTAAAAAGAGAAGTGTTTACCCAGGGACTATACAGAGTAGACCTCTGAAACTCCTGGGGACTGAGAGGGGGAAAGTAAAGTGCCCAGAATGATATGGCTTCTTGGGAAGTTTCTGGGAAAAGGTGGGATTCCAGGGGAATGCCAAGATTTAGCAAGAAACAGCATCCTTTGGCCCTGGCAGTTTTTCTCAGTGGTTAGAGCATCAGGCCTTGGACTAAAGGGTCCCAGTTTTGATTCTGGCCAAGGGCATGTACCTCAGTTTCAGGCTTGATCCCCAGCCCTGGTCGGGGTGCGTGTGGGAGGCAACCAATCAATGTGTCTCTCTCACATCGATGTTTCTCTCTCTCTTCCATTCTCTCTGAAAAGCAATGGAAAAAATATCCTCAAGTGAGGATTAAAAAAAAAAAGAAAAAAGAAATAGCATCCTTTGGAAAAAATGCCTTCCCTGATTCTGTCCCATGCCACTAAGTGGCTGTGCCAGGCACCCTCCTGCTGGAGCCAGAAGGCTGTGAGTCCTTTCTGAGTCTCCTCCCTCACTTCACGGACAAGTGCCTACTACCTCCTAAAAGTAGCCTATATTCCACCCACTTCTCTCAACCCACCTCCATCGCTTCCTCCTCTTCTGAGCCAATGCCTTCTCTCTCTGGTCTCCCAGCTTCCATCTACCTTTGTCTTCCCCTTTAAAGGCCCCAGCTTTATCTTTTAGCAACTTTAACATAACAATCTGATCAGGGTGCTTCTGTGGTCTGAACCCCTCCAATGGCTCTGGATGAAGCTCAGCCCATGAGGCCCATGCACTCTGGCCCTGTTGAGGGTCACTTGAGCCTTTGCCACTAGCCTCCCCAGCTTCCTTTCTGTTCTTGGAACATGCAAATTTCACTCTCATGGCCCAACTTTTGCATCTGCTGTACCCTGTTTGTGCATCCATTCCTTGGCTTGTGGCTGCATGCCCTGGGTGGCCTTCTACTTCAGGACTTGACTAAGAGGCTTTCCCTGACCAGTCTACCTAAATAAGGCCACTGGTCTCTTACTCTGAACGAGTATCACAACATTCTGGTGTTTACTTTGTTCCCTAATTTGGTTATCCTCTGGCTTTACCTCTAAAGTATCCGCCCCCCAGCCTCCACCTTGGTTTAGTTGTCATCATCTCCTACCTAGACTTATGCTGTTACCTCTTTTGAGGTCTCCCAGCTTCCATCTTCACCCCCCACAAGCAGCCGTAAGGAGCCTGTGAAAACTCAAGTCAGGTCACACCCTTCTGTGCACAGAACTTTCCATAGCTCTTATTCTACATCAAAAGCCAAAGTCTTCACGTGGTCTCCGAGGCTCTCTGATCCATCACCTCCTTGACCCTGTCACTTCCTACTTTCCCCCATTCAGGCATCTTTAGCCACACAGACTTCTTTGCTCTTCCTCAGATGTTCCAGGTGCACCCTGCCTCAGGGCCTTTGCACTTGTAACTTCCTCTGCCTGAACTCTCTTCTCTTAGATGGACCTGCAGGGCTCCTTCACCTCATTCTGGTTTTTGATCAAATATCACCACACCGCCTTAACTAAAACTGTAACCTGCTCCCCCTCAACTTCCATAGCACTCTTCTTTCTCTTTTTACCTACTCTCTGACACCCCCTTATTGGAGCATAAGCTCCAGGAGGACAAGGAGCTCTATCTTACTCACTGCTTTATCCCTAGAGCCTAGAATAGTGCCTGGCACACAGTAGGTGTTCAATGCATGTTTGTTGAATGCCTCGTTGGCTGCTGTATTCCCAACTTGCAGAACAGCGTCTGGCAAACAGTACTTGCTTAATGAATATTTGCCAATTGACTGAAGACTGCGGAGAAAGCAGAGAGAGATGCAGACCACCAAGGGCCTCTCCCACACTGTGCCTCACCTACCTCCCTGTCCCCACTCCCGCTCACCTATGGTTCTGAGCCAGGTCACCCCACGGCTGGTGCCCAAGGGGAAGGTGGCAAACTCGCAGGAGAAGTTGCCTTCATCCTCCACTCTCAGGTCCTGGAGGACCAGCGTGGCATCCCGCATGTCAGAGCCTTGCCTGGTGCCAGGGCTCTGGCCCAGGGTGCGGAAGGACAGCCGATCCTTGCCGAACTGCGGGCTGGGGAAGCTGAGACCATGTGAAGGGTGAAAGGCGGCCACGCTCTGGAGGTTCCTCGGGTCTAGGTGTTGCCATGTCACCTGTGAGACGTTTCCTTTAGGCCCTGGCGACAGTAGGTAGCACGGCAGCTCCACTGTCCCCCCCAGGCGGCCCCGCACCTCGGGTGGCATGCGAACTTGCCCATTCTGGGCTCCTGGGGAGAGAGCAAAAAGAGAGGTTGGGGCGGGAGGAAGGACCCAGACGCCTCCAGGCGGGGCAGGGCCATCACTGCGGGGACCCCCATGGGAAAACACAATTCGAGAGCCTACATTTTGTTAATCTGTTCAGTTGATGGACATCTGTGTTGTTCCCACTTTTGGATTATGAATAAAGCTGCTGTGAACATTTGAGTACAAGTTTTTATGTGAACGTATGTTTTTATTTCTCACCTTATTTTTGTTTTCTCACTTTAAAAAAAAACTTTTAATTGATTTTAGAGAGAGGAAGGGAGAGGGAAACATCGAATGTTTCGCTGCTGTGCCAGGCAGTAAAGCATGGCCACTGAGGGTACAGACTACCTGAGTTCGAATCCTGGCTCTGTCACTTGCTGGCTGTGTGATTTTGGGCAAGTCATTTAACCTCTCTGTGTCTCAGTTTCCTCAACTATAAAACGAGGATAATAACCGTGTCCACTTCCTAGGGGCTGTTACAAGCTTTAAGGAATATTTGTAGAGCGCTTGTCTCAAGGCCACAGGAAACACGAGACCACTGCTTATTAAATAAACACAGCCAGTTAAGTATAATTTCAAGTGGCCCTTGACACTCAGCCTCCAGGCAAGGCCAAGGGCACACGCCCAGCTCTCAAGGGGTAACTGCTGCTCAGCTCTCTCCGACCCAGCCTCTGGCCTCACACAGGAACCCAGAGCACAGCAACAGGTGACCCTAATCAGAGGGTGCCCAGCAAAAGGCAGCCTCTCGGGTAGGACCAGTCCCAGGGACTTTTGGAAAGAAGCCGTCTATCAGCGAAGGCCATCGTGACACATACACAAACTCACGAAATACCCACGCATATCCACAGTTCAGACCCAAGGCCCCACCTTGGGAGATAGCTGCTCCCTTCTGGAGGGGCAAGCACTAGACTCAAGAGTATGGGACTTGCCCTAGCCAGTTTGGCTCAGTGGTTAGAGCATCGGCCCTTGGACTGAAGGGTCCTGGGTTCGATTCCCACCAAGGACACATACCTCTGTTGCAGGCTTGATCCCCAGCTCTGTTTGGGGCACATGCAGGAGGCAACCAACTGATGTGTCTCTCTCACATTGATGTTTCTCTCTCTCCCTTCCACTCTCTCTGACAATGAAAAAAATATCCTCGGGAGAGGATTTAAAAAAAAAAAGTGTGGGACTCAAGCAGATCACTGGGGACTTCCTCTGGCTCTTTCCAGCTGGGTGATCTTGTTCCTGAACCTGAGTTCGTCCATCTATAAAATGAGGACGTTTAAGCTGCTCTGCAGGGTTCCTTGTGAAATTCCACATGATTTTCTCCCCTAAGTCTTCACAGGGCTGGGCACAGTTGGGTCAAGCACAGGCGGTCAGCTGCCACTCTCACTTGTATTTACTTTCCGCCCTCACAGCACCATTTCTAACTGAACTAGCAGCACAAGGGGTCAGGAGATTTAAATGTCAAAATCCAGACTAAAAAGGACATGGGGCTGTGGTGGGGGGACAGCTGGGTGGAGCTGAAGTGGGGCCGCCCCCTTCCCTCAGGACATTCCCTCAGATGCCAAAACCCTTCACCCACCTGGCCCCCAAAGGCAGGATGTGGGACAAGGGGCCCCAAAGGTTCTGCCCCTTTCTAGCTGGGCGAGGAGGGGAGGGCACTCAGTCAGGAAAAAACATCCAGGCCAGTGAGCTACAGAAAGCAAAGTAGGGTGGGACCAAGGAGTTGGCTTTCTCCTTGAGGCAAGTGGGAGCCATTGAGGGTCCCTCAATAGTTAAGACTGAGATTTAGTGTAGAGCTTGAAGGGACTTAGTGAAGGGGAGAGGACAGAACCTGGGAGAATCTTCTCCCCAGCCATTCTTTCCCTTTCTATGCAAATCCAAATAGCATCTCAACATACAGGCCCTGGGCGTTAGACAGTCAGCCCCCGAGGACAGGGATTTGCCTGGCCTGTTCCCTCCTATCCCCATAGCCCACACCAGGGCCTGGCAAGTAGTTGGTGCTCAACAAATACTGTTGACTGTGTATCAGGTTCTGTGCTGGGAGCTGGTGCCACAGAAGTACCAGGTGCTTGTCCTCCAGGAGTTGACATTCCAGAGGGGAAGACAAATATTGTACAAAGAGTCATCACCAGGATGTTGTTAAGACTGAAGGGGTGGGAGTGGGAGTAGGGGAAGGACCCAGAGCAGGGAGGGCTGATCTGAGGGAGGGAGGCTGGGAGGGCTTCCTGGAGAAGACCAGATTCTTTCCAAGGGAAACTGAGCTCCAAGCCCACAGAGCCCTACACCCCTCCCTGGGTCCTTGTGATTTTGAGGTGCTCCCATCTCTCTTCTAAGGGAGGCTGCCCTCCCACACCTAGGGTGGCGTCTCAGCTCTGTCAGCTTCAAAGGATTAAATAAAACAACCCACTTTTAGCTTCTTGTGCAGCAAACTCCTCATCCCCAATACTGTCCCAGATGGTCACACACCTCTCCCCTCTCTGACTAGGTTCTAAGATCCTGCAGCTATAAGGTTCCCATGCTAAGTTCCTAATTCTGAATGAATGACCAGGATGGCTCCGTCCCTGTGCACTAACAGTCCATTTTTTAGACATTTCCACTTCAGTAAAAGGTTTAGGATTGGAGGTTTGGAGTCATCCCTGAGTCCTCTCTCTCTCCCATCCCACATGCAATCCATCAGGAAACCTGTCAGCTCCATCTTCAAAATACATCTACAAGCCACTGTCACCTACCTCCTGGGTCATTTTCCCCATGGAGGATGGCAATTGCCTCTCACAGTCTGTTCCCACAAGCAGCCAGAGGGCTCTGGTTAAAAGCTACAGAAGATCCAGACCCTCCTCTCTGCTCTGAGCCCTCCCATGGCTCATGGCTCTCTTCACTCAGACAAAAAGCTTAAGTCTCCACCGTGGCCACAAGGCCCCACACGGTCTGTGCTGTCTTCTTTCTGACCTTGTCTCCCACCTTCTCCCCTTGGCTCACCCTACTCCATCCACACTGGCTTCCTCACTGCTCCTCAAACATGTCAGGCGAGTCCCACCTCAGGGTCTCTGCACTTGCCGTTCCCCGATCCTGGAAAGCTCTTCCCCCATGTGTCTCCACGGCTCCCTCCCTCCCTTCCTCAGGTCTTTCCCACCCTAATGACAATAACAAAACTTTATCTTTCCTCTAGCACCTGAGGTATCTTCTCCACTAGAATATCGGTGTCAGGGGCAGGGATCTTTGTCCTGTGTCTTGTTTCCTACTGCATCCCCAGGGCCTAGCACAGTGCCTGGCACACTGTAGGAGCTCCAGAAATGTGTTGAATGAATGAGGATGGGAAACCAACAGTATACAAGGTCACACAGGCTGAGGCTGAGTACAAGCTTAAGCTTTTTCCTGAGGGCACTGGGGAGCCATACAGAGTTGGGGGGGGGCAGGGTTAGGTTTGTACTTTAGAAAGAGCCCTCAGAATGCAGTGGGGCTAGGACCCAGGGGAAGAAGAGGTACCTGGGCCAGGGTAGGGGTGGAGACAGAGGACAAACTGGACAGGAACACACTCAGGTGCTAGAATGGTTGGGAAGACATGGACACTGACAGGCTGTGGGGGTGAAGGGGGACAGGGTATGGGCCGATGCCCTGATGTTTTGAGTTTCAGGAGGCGTCAGCGGAAACAAAGGCAGGAAGATGGCTGGCCTGGAGTTAGGGCCCTAGTGTCCAGCATGCTGCTGGGCGGGTGCCCGTGGTGACCTTGGCTAGGACATGACCAGCCCCACAACGGGGGAGAGTGGCTATGGGAACATCGGCTTCCCTCAGGAGGCCAGACTGGTGACAGCTTCATGAGGTGTCAGCTGGGTCCCCAGACAGGCTTCCTTTCCCTGTGGCCCGGGCCTCGCAGGCTTCCTGTGATGGCAGAGTAGGGCACATCGTGTACACCCAGGGGAAAACTTTAGGGGGCAGAGATACAGAGCCTAAAACCCTGAGATCCAAGGAAGGGTAGATCAAGGCAGAGACGAGTGGATGCAGGAGGAAGAAGGGGCTAGGGTTCTGGCCTTCAGGGTCTGAGACTGGGCTCCTACCTGGCTGGCTCCTCAGGGCTTGGCTCACCACCTCCAGACCCATCAAGCCCCAGTGTGACCCGCCCTCTCCCACAGGGCGCGGCCAGACTCCAGCAGGCCCTTGAAGGCTGGCGTGCTCTGGGCGCTGGCCTCAGCTGCTGCCTCAGCCACCTCGTTAATTAATTAATTGCATTAATCACAGGGCCCACCCCCACAGCGGACATCCGGGAGGCAGTCTGGGAGGTGAGCATCAGTCAAGATATGGGGCTGCCTGCCTCGGCCTGGATTTCTGCACCTGCCTTCCCTTTCCACAGGGGCTTGACACCCTGAAGACCTCCCCTGAGGGGTTTCACATTTCTGGGGGTGAATCTCTAGGAAGGACTGCTCTTCCCGGCTGAGCCCCTCAGACAGAACCCCTCACATGCTGCTGTAGATGTTTCTGTTTCTCTGATCTTGTTTCTCACTCTGCATCTGGCTCTTAGGGTCCAAATCTATCCCCTGTGTCTCCAACTCCCAGGGGCTCTGGTTTCCACCTGTCTCTCTCGCAATGCCACTCTCACCTGTGTCTCAAGAGGCCCTGGTCTCTGCTCTATGTCTCCTGTACTCTCTAACAGCTTTACTGAGATATATTCCCAGACTGTACAATTTGCCCATTTGAAGCATAGAGTTTCAATGGCTTTCAGTATATTCATAGATTTGTGCATCGGCACCATCAATTTCAGAACATTTTCACTAGCCCAAGCAGATACCCACATCCCCTAGCTGTTCCCATACTCTCTTCTCTGTATCTCTGACATCAGTGGTTCTGGGTACGGGTCTTCCAGTCTCTGGGATCTGGCTCTCTGCATGGATACCCTGGGTCTCTAATCTCTCAAGGTTTTCTGGTCCACATCTCTCAGGGTCTTTGTCTCGGACCCTGGGATCTCCTTGCCTCCTGGGTCTCCCCATGTCTCTCCACAT